CTCAAAGTCACATCCTTATTTTCAAACTTTAAAGAGCTCTTCTGTAGCAGATTTACTGCAGGCAATGCATCTTTTGATCTCTTGACTGTTGCTTCCATGAGCATTGATTATGGATCCAAGCAAGAGGAAATTCTTGACAATTTTGATCTTTTCTCCATTTATCATGATGTTGCCTATTACTCCTGGTGTGTAGTGGCTACTCGTTGGGCTGAAATCCACATGGCCAGGAGTTCAAAACCAACAGCAGCTCTGCAGAAGACTGGGCTTTCTACTCCCATAAAGAGTTATACTCTCAGAAACCCACAAAGGGGTTTCTGTCAATGAGTTTGGTTTGGTTTTTACCTATTAGTTCAGTTGTGAGGAATTTGGTTTTATTTATATTGAGCTGTAATCCATATGGAAGGCTACAGGTTTTATCCTCATATGCAAGGGCTTCAAGTTCTCCTCACTTTCAGCAAGCATATTGAAGCTTGCTTATAAGATTTCCTCTCATCTTGGGGCCCCATTCTTCTTCATATAATTCAGCTTCTCTGGTGATTTTCTCAGGATATAGATTGAACAAATATGGTGAAAGGATACAATCCTGACTCACACCTTTCTTGATTTTAAATCATGCAGTATTCCCTTTTTCTATTTGTACAACTCCCTCTTGATCCATGTATAGATACCTCATAAGTACAACATAGTGTTCTGGGATTCCCATTCTTCCCAAGGCTATCCATAGTTTGTTATGATCCACAGTCAAATGCCTTGGAATAATCAATAAATACAAGTAAACATCTTTCTGGTATTCTCTGCTTTGAGCCAAGATCTATCCGACATCAGCAATGACATCCTTTGTTTCATGACCTCTTCTGAATCTCACCTGGTCCTCTGGCAGCTCCCTGTCAATGTACTGTTGCAACCATTGTTGAATGATTTTCAGGAAAATTTTACTTGTATGTGATGTTAATGATGTTGTTATTTAATTTGAGCATTAGGTTGGGTCACCTTTCTTTGGAATGGGTATAAACATGGGTCTCTTCCAGTCAGTTGATAAAGTAGCTGTCTTCCAAATTTCCTTGCATAGACAAGTAAGTGCTTCCAGTGTGTCATGAGCTTGTTGAAACATTTCCATTGACATTGAGTTATAGCGGTCTGTTTTCATAAAAATTACAATCTGAGCCACCCTCTTCCTGGAGCTTTGTTTTTGCCTCATCAATTCTCGGAGTCTTGATTTAGCTAATGCTTTCAGTGCAGCTTGAGCTTCTTCCTTCAGTACCATTGGTTCTTGTTCATATGCTAACTCTTGAAATAGTTGAATGTTGACTGATTCTTTTTGGTACAGTGTCTGTTCATAGAGTGAGAAATTCAAAACAGAAGAACACATTCAGCGTATCTTAAACTGAAAGAACTAAAGAAAAAAATGCAAGGCTTGGGTTGCAATATTGAAAGATTTTGCAAAATACTGAATGATAGAAAGATTCACGGTGCTATATTGCCGCATTTTTTTTAACCTTCACTATAGAATCCTACATGAAATTTAAAAATGTTCTGAAATGGATTGTGGTAATGATTGTACAATTCTTCTTGACATGATTGAATGGTTGAATTGTATGATTTGTAATAAAACTGGGGAATAAAAGTTTGTGTCCTTCTATAATCTGAGGCATGTGTAAATTTTTCAGAGAGAGTATATTGCTTTGCCAGTATTAAGCCAAAATTCATTTTAATCCTATAGAAGTGTGATAACATATGTTCAATAATGAAATTAACAAATGCAACTATTTTTCACTCTACAAAAATACTTATTATTTGTTACTAATTTGTAGACACCAAAAACAAAACAAAACACGCTATGTTCTTTATGTGCACCACCATGGCTAAAATCCTTTTACTTACAAACCTACATGCTCAAATGTCAGAGATGCCAGGAACAGACAGAAACCTGGTATAGTAGTTACATAATCTGGTGTCAACGTGAGGGCATTAAGAGTGAAGGGCTGGAGTCGAGCCTGTCAATCAGGTCACAGCCTGATGATGCCTCCTTGTGCGTGTGGCCTCCTCATGAGGCTTCTGGGAACTTCCTCTCCCTCTGCTTTGTGTTACTGTTGACAAGCCATGTGGAGACTTGCTGAGACCTGAGAGAGCACTCTTGTTCTCCTTCACCTTTCTGTTGAGGAGCCGCACTCAGAGAGCTGGAGGAGCCACTTGGAGACCCATGCCAGTGCTGAGATGCTTCCATTGCTGAGTCCACAAGACTTTTCACCCATGGACTTATGATCTTCCTACATTCAGCATCATTGCTGAATGATGTGCTTAGTGAATCATGTGCTTAGTGAATCTGAAGAGGAATTCATAGACTAGTATCAGACATATGGGCTAATATCAGACTTATGAACTTGGTCTGGATTGGGCTGGGATGTTTTCTCAATATATAATTGCTCTTCAATACAAAGCTATTTCTTATACATATATGAGTGTCTGGGGATTTATTTCTCTAGTCAACCCCGACTAACACATCTGGCCTACTGTACTAGACTGTTACTCTCATGAAAGGCATCACCCTTACTTGTTTTGGGGTTTGTGACACTGAGCACAGAATGGATACAGAGTTTACTTTTCATACTTGAATAAACAGTTTGAGAAAATAATAAAAATCCACAAATAATATTCATCAATGAAACACAAGAGTCTGAAATTTTTAGCCTTTTAAGATCCTGCAAGCATTTTCTATGATGATCAATATTTTCACAGGATGCATGGGGAGGTTTGGGGTTCATCCTATTCGACTAGATTCTAGGGTGCTAAAGGATGATAAAAACCTTGGCTGCTTCATTTTTTTATCCAGTATTTTTCCCAAAAAAACCCACCTTACTAAGAGCTAATTCAGACATCACACCTTTCCATAGTTCAGTCATATCAAGCAATGTTGTACAATCACTAGCATAATTAGTTTCAAAACACTTTCTTCTTGAACTCCTTGATATCAATTCTCCCTTATCCCCCTATCTTCCCTGCTATTCCCCTCAGGAAGTCTTATTATCGATTTACCTAGCTTTGGTTTCATATACCAAAAGAAAAAGCACAGAAAAATACGTGAAAGTCAAGAAGGCTACCAGCATGACCAAACACAACAGAAACAAACCCCAATATGGAAACACACCCAGAGAAAACAGTAACAAGCAGATCCAACACTAAGTCCCTTTACACATTGCAGTGGCGCACACACTGGTGCCATAGCAGTGGAGTCTGGGCTGCTGAAAAGCTGGCCGTTGGAATCTCCCAGCCACTGCACAGAGGAAGCATGCACTCATCTGCTTCTATAAATATTGACATCTCGGAGAACTTTATGAAACAGTTGTATGCGATTGCCAAGGATTTCGTCTTGCTTGGATCCACGCTCAATGCTCACGGAAGCAGCGGCGTAAGAGATCAAATGGCACAGTGCCCTGGGTAAAGATGCCGCACAAGGTGAAGAGCAAGGATGCTACTTGAGGATTAAGGAGTACCTGACTTAAACCACATGTTTCCCACGGCCTCGTGCGCATGTGAAAGTTGGACATCGAATAAGGAGGACCAAAAGAGAATCGATGCCTTTGGATTACAGTGCTGGTGAAGCACGTAGAAAGGACAATGGACTGCCGGAAGAACCCAGCGCTCCGTCTCGGAAGAAGAACAGGGAGAATGCTCCTTAGAGGCGAGGATAAGAAGCTTCATCTCACGTCCTTTGGACATGGTGGCAGGAGAGACCAGTCTCTGGAGAAGGACATCAGGCTTGCTAAAATAGAGAGGCAGAGAAAAGGAGAAAGACCTTTGACGAAATGGATTGATACATTGGCTCTAGTAATGGGTTAAAATATAAGAATCACTGTGAGGATGGCATGGGGCCAAACGGTGTTTCATTCTGCTGGGTCACTCTGGGTCAGAACCAACAATAACATAAGGGTGCGCTGACTCTGAACCGACCCAGTAGGCAAGGATTTTTCTTTGTTCATATATGAGCATAGTGTTTCCTTCTTTGTAGGCGCTCCATAAATCTATATACAGCTGATTTTAAAAGTTCTTATAATGAATGACTGGCTTAAGATTCATCCCTGCCCTGCCATGGATTGGGATGATACAGTTACTGTCTCTCCCCAGTGAAGCGGCTTTCATTTGCCCAGTGGTCTAAGGCAGAGAAGCGGAGGCCATCGAACTTCCGAATATGTGAATGTGTTTGAGTCTTTTACTTTAATTTGGGAGAAGCAAGTTCAGGGCTCGGGGCTTTAGCTTTCATTCATATTTTTAAAACAGCATCTCTAAGTCTAGTTAGCTTTTATATAATGCCACAGAAGAGTGACATATTTATTTCATAATGACCTAGCGAACCACTTTCTAATACTTGATAGTAGAGTAGGTATACATCTACCCTGGAAGGCTCAGTAATGACAAAAAATGTATATCATAGGGAAAGGGATTTTAATTAAGCCATTTCTATATGGTAATTATTTTTTAAATTCCTAATTAAGAAAGACAGCCATTTTCAATTGTAGCCGCAGCTGATCTCAGTCCTGGCCCATCCGTGTTGCCTAATCAAGGCATTCGAGAACCTCTTCTCTGCTTAAACATGCAGTAAACTATGTGCTGTTAACTAGACCACCTGCCAGCAACAGATTAACATACTTTGTTTCCCCCCCAAAAATGAACAAGCGTTTTGTTTTTGTCCTTTTTTTTAAACTAATGGTATTTGCTTCCTGAAACAGGTTCTTAATTTTACCAGAGTGATTGGGGAAAAAAATTAACCATTTACTTTTTTCTTCTTAGGTTGTGAGGTTGAAATTCTTGGTGTCAGACCTACTTACTGCCTGGAGTATAAAAATGTCCCAACGGACATCAATTTTGCCAATGCAGTCAGCGATGCTCTGGACGCCCTCAAGTAAGTTCCTCGAGTTGCTAAACCGCACCCTTGTTCACCTGCCTTGTGGGAGCCAACGTGTGCCCCACAGCGAATGCCGAGAAGTCTCCGTAGAGGGCAAATGACAGCTCGGACAGCGAGCAAGCCCACTGAAGGGTGGTTGCTAACTGCTAGAAGAGAATGGTTGTGAGCCACTAATTTCAGGCAAGGATTCTGGGAAATTCTGCATTGAAAATAAGGATTTCCCTTTCTCATGCTGTTGAGCACGGGCGAGTGGCATCCAGGATTCCTTTCTTGTCTTGTTGGGCAAGGTAGCCATATCACACATGCCAACATTTCCCCAATCATGGTTTAGTGATCGCTCAGATGTCAGAAAATATTTATAAGTATTTGGCAAAAAGGGACGCTCTGTGGTTAAATAAGTCTGGGGAAACTGCCTGCTCCTTCCCCCGTTTGGAAATATGCAAAGTACTTTAGTATTTTGGAATCTGAACCA